TCTATTCATCATTTCAGTGAGACTCATGGCAGCTTCTATATTTTTCCTCCTTCTTCTCCCGACTCTGTTTTCTTATGAATTTCACATAGGATTTTGTGTGGTGTTTATTTGCTCTGCAGCTCTGGGTGATTGAGGTTCCTAGAGTCAAAATAATTTCTCTCTAAGTGGTGGGCTTCCATGAGCAGCTGCTTTGCAAAGCCACCAGCCTGATGGTGTTGGTGAACACTGCAGTCACTCCATCTTTTGTCTCTGTCTTTTGTTCATTTTTTCTGCAGGGCGGATCAACAGGATTCATGCATGTTACGCTGTGGTGTGGTTTGAGGTTTTAGATAATGAACCCCCGGGCGTTTTGTAAGTGAGTCATAAGATGACCACTCAAACACAATCAATGCTGCTGGCTTTCATCTGAACTCATTTATCCACACCTACCCATTATATCTCCTTGGGTCTAGTGCGTCAGACCGGTTGGGCCGGCTTGCTTTTCCCTCTTTGAGATACACACTCGTGATTTTTTTATGCCTGCATTCATTCTCGATTCAGACCCTACCGTCTTTCTATTAGCGCTTTCTTTTGATATTCTTGTTGTAGCCTCTAAGGCCCACTTCACCAGCTGTTCATGCTCTGTATTGTACAGAGGACACCTGTGGCCCATGTCCACCTAATTACCTTTACTTCCTTTTCTTGACCGCCATGTCCATCCCTAACTCCATATTTAACTATCTTTTTTTCTATCGTTCTATCTATAGGATTTTAAAAAGGGATGCATTGCATTCTATGGTTTAACAAAGAAGAGAAATCCGCCTTCACTCCCCATTGAATCTCCACTGTATCTACGTATGTTGAATTGCAGTATTGAAGCATATTTTACTGATGAACGAGTAATAGATAATGCCTGTAGACAGAATCTCACCAGATAAAGAAGGACATAAAACCTTCTGTATTTAAAATATTCCTACTCATGATAAATGTTCAAAAGAGCGGGACTTGGCAGGAAGATTACAGGATACTAAAGCATTTGCAGTCATCATGAGTCGCATAGTGAGGGCTGTTTTATGCAGTGTGAGATGATACACACTAAATTATGACACTTGGATGTTTTTGGTTTTCATTTTAGCATGAAAAAGGATTTTAATATTATGGGAGGATGGTCAGTTTTGTGGAGAAAAATAGGGGTTCACTGTTATGTTAAATTCAGCTTCACACCAACATTAAGGAGAGAAGATATTCCTTAAAAGAGTATAACAACGTTTTAGCATTGCACTCTATAACAATGTTGGACTCACAATGGAGAGTTTAGATAAAAAATATTAAAAAAAACAGAAATTCCTTAGATTCTTTGTCCTGGCGCCTACATTACACACAATGCAATGCACCCACAGTTTGGTCGGTGGGTGTTTTATGCTAGTAGCTGCTAATGTAGCCTTGAAGTCCCTCAAGCGGAGATAATGTGTGGGCTACAGAGGTCTGGCAAAGCTCACTTCTTTCTAACTCCACACCTCCATATTTTCCATCTTTAGATTTCAGCTACAACAAATGCCGACTCAAGTGACATTGAACGTTTATTTCGCTGTATTTTCTACAGTGATCGTAAAGGCTTCCTATTGACCTTCTATCAGACTTCACACAATACAAATGTCAGTGTGAGCTGTTCTTGAAAGATGGCAGTTCACAGCTAAGGTAGCATGCAGCAAGAGTCGTCAATATCCATTCACCTAATGTTCATTCTGAGTCTATAGGAGAAGAGAAGATGATAATTTGTAAAGGTTGTGACCTCGTTCATTGTGTAGGTACATGATATTTTCTTTTATATTTCTACCTATAAGTGGCAAATGCCTTTTTCTAGTCTTAGTTACCATCCAAAGCGCTTTGCAGCTCAACCCAGCATTCACACACATATTCTAACACTGGTGGAAGAGGCGAGGTGCCACCTGGTCATCATGAGCGAACAACATTGACACTCAAAATTTGGGTTTCAATCTTGCCCAAGGACACTTCAAAATGTACTGCAGATCGAGCCGCCCATCTGAATCATCTTCTTATGCTTCTGAATGCCACAACTGAAGTGCAGAGAGAGACAAATGTTTGTTCATAAGACCATGGGAACCATGAATGATAGGAGGCCTAACATAATAACTTTCTGACATAATGATGATCAAACATCTAAATATAAGATGTTATTGTAGAGATCTAATCTAATTCAAGTGCCTCGGTCAAAATGAGAAACAGCTCACATAAATGGCAGCAGATGAAGTCTGTATCAAGTTCTGTATGGAGTTGGTCTGTGTGTAAGGGCCTATAATTCATAGAATATAGCTTTCATCCAATCAGCATGCAGCGACCCCAGGGCAGAACAGCCAAATGAAAAATACCTTGAAGTCTCAGCTGTTGCTTTGGCTCTGGTCAACAGAGATTGGATGATGAACTATTACAAAAATACAGATACCAATTGCTGTGTAGGATTTAAATACATGATACACTGTGATTGATTATAGCTGCATTTCTAAATGCCAAAGCCTTGCAAAGATTAAATTTAGCCTTTTCAGAGGATTCAGATTTGGATGATGTATGAAAGAACAATTCTTTTTTTCATTCCATCAATGGAAATTTAAGCTGAATAAGTCTCAACAATTAAATGTACTAAAAAGCCATCCACACAAAAATGTATTGTAAATGAGCACCAACTAATGATTTGGTTTCCTCACATTTTAGGAATACAGTTGGCAAGATACTGTGAAAACCCCCCGGTTGAATTTCAAGGACTTTAAATCCCAGTGAGTCCCAGTGACACAAGCTAGAGCGACTTTAGCGATGTCTTTTGGGACGTATTTCCCACTGAAACAAAATGTTGGAGTTGTGTAGTTATAAGAGGGATTTAAGTCAAATCCTTTGCATTTGATTGGACCGCTGGGATTAGAATGAAGCGCACACTGATTGGATGTCATGATATTGTTGGTTGAAATTGGTTGGTACTAACGTCGGCACATGTCTTACAGGAGGAAAATATAATAGAATGTTTTATAAATATTAAGAAATTTATTTTTTGTAGATAACTTTTGTAGATATTTGTGCATATTTTGTTAAATAGGTACACAACACGTGATGGACACTAAAAGGAATTTTTTATTTAATTTTAACTTTAAGAAAATATGCTGCAATAAACACCTGAAAACATGTGGAATTTCAAAAATATTTGGTCTGTCGCTCCAATTTTCTTTTTGCATTCACCTCCTTAAAATATCTTTTACATTTCATATTCTTTTTTTGAATATTTGAAGCTTCTTCTGTCACCATCTCATGCAAAGTATTGTAAAAAAATTGCACGTAAGTGCTCTTCTCTAAAGTTCAGCTGCCACCCCAGAGGTTTGAACATGTCACAAAAAGGACTAAGGGAGATCATATCGGCAAAAGAAATCACAAAATAAAAGGGTGATTGTTCTGAAGACAATGAGCGTCAAAAATCCAAATAATTTCATTTTACTTTCAGCAGTATACGCTAATATTTATTTTGAATATGCGTATGCAGGGAAGCCAGTGATGTAACTAAAGATGTCTTCATAGTATGACTTTGTGTCTGCAGATTTCTTCTTTAATGATATGGTGTCTGTGGGTCTACGCTTCAAGTGTATCCAGTGCTCACTGAAAAATAAGTCGTTGTGCTACACAGAAAATACAGTACACTGTTTTAAAGAAAAAAGAAAAGAAAAACACACCGAACAATATTTTCATTCTTAGACTCCACAGTGCTGAATAGACCACAGATGAAACAAAAGCAAGCCTCTTTGTGTGAGACTCCCCGCAACTTAAAAAATGTTCTAAGACTCAATTCATGAATATTTTACGCAATGTGCCAGAACTTCATCTGAACATGTGAATGTACTGGAGTTCATCAATAGCCTATCTGTCTTAACACCCAGGCCACACAGTCTCACTTTCTCTCTCCCTTTCTTTCTCTCGCTTTACCTCCCTCTCCCCTCTAACGGCCACACACAAGGTCATCCTTTCAAAGACCCTCCTCATCCAGCCCCAGCAGTCCCCTGAGGCGTCAATGGACAGACCATGCTGCCTGGGATTGAAGTGTGAGATAGGAGGCAGAGCTAGTTGCGTCTCCCTCTCTGATGACGAGGCTCTATAGGGCCTCCTTTGACACCCACTGATGATGAAGGCTTGTTTGAGTGAGAAAAAATGATGGAGGATGGTGCTTTTTTGTTCTGGTTTAATACTAATACTTCCATAAGAGACTTTATGGCTAGCTGTTTGTACAAAAAAATTTGAAAAAAAGTATCCCTTACTAATAGCCTCCCTACACCTGACCTCTACGACCTCAAAACAGAGCCATCACATGCATAGCCCATGCACCGCTCTGTGTGGACTATCTCACACACTGCACCAGTTGCTCTGAGTGTGTAATGTGTGTGTATTTGCGTTGGAGTCAGGTGGAAGCCTGGTGCGTCGCATACACACACTAAAGGGTCCCTCTGTGCACCACAGACAGACGCCGAGGAGCACTGACCAAGCTGCGGTATTTGATGCATTGGGGGTGGTATGAGCATTATGTTTTGTGCTTTTCTATCTATCAGGGGAAACGGGGAGGTTTTTGAACAATCATATTCTAGCCAATACGGGTAGTCTAGCCTAATTATAGTTTAGAGAAACCACATGTTTAACAAAATGGGAGGAATGGGGGGTTATTGGGGGCATGCAACCCCTTTTGGTGCTTAAATCACTGCAGTCCAGTACAGTAAGTTCACTATACTAGTGACCTTTTTTAATCTCCGTTATCACCGACCCCCCCCATTGCAATGTGTGTTTTCTGCTTCATGGAGCAATGCATCACCACAGTATTGAAAGTATAGCAGAGCGACGAGGTGAGTAGTCACGTTATGATGGTAAAGTGAGGCAGAGGGAAGGAGGGCTGATGACACGCTGCTGGCACACAGAGAGAGAGAGAGAGAGAGAGAGAGAGAGAGAGAGAGAGAGAGAGAGAGAGACGCACACTGTACTTTGCGCTGGAGAAAGAGGAAGCGCGCTTCGCCTCTCCATCACATTTCACTTTGGAAACACTGAAAACAAAGAAAGCCAGGATGTAAAAACAACAACAATAAAAAAAACACTAGAGGACGTCCACACATCCCGCTACAAATCGCTTCCCCTGAGTGTTGTGGTCCAACAGACTGGTTCATTCTGCTCCATCGCCCGCGTGTGTTTTTTTTTTTTTTTTGTGGTGCTCTGCTCGGTGCCGGAGTCCGCCGACCGACGAGGAGAGGTGCTGCTCGCTGCTTCATCCCGCTAGATGGATCCGAGCTCTCCCTCTCTCACTTGCTAACTGAGGACTCGGGTCTTTGCTGAAAGTCTGATTTGGTTTTGGAAGAGTTGGGGATTTTGTCCCCCCTCCCTCCTCGACTTTTACTGGTGAGTGTCTGATTGTGTGTTTGCTCCATTCACTCAATGTCCGTCTAATAATACGTGGAGGTGCATTTCACCATGAGCACAGTCTATGTGAGGTGAACTAATGCATTACGTGGTGAAGTTAGTCAGTGTGCATGGAAAAAGTACTTTTCAGTTTAGCCCTACCAATCGTATGCTACACTGTATTTTTTTTAAGATTATGTAAAGAGGCAATTTAGTTTTAATGTAATGTTTCACTGGCCTTGTGATATTAGTTTATTTTAATGTCTAATATTGCCACGTAGATCAATGTGCTTCGTTATCCTGATGCAACAGGTTTGTTTCAGTCCCTGACAGTCAGCCTGTCCACATGCCGGTCAGCTAATGATGCTGCTCAGGACAGATAGGATCTGATGCTGTTCAACTGATAAACCAGATTGTAGTCACTGCACATGTAACTGTGTTTACACAGATCCGTAGCAAATGTGGGCTCAGGTCCAAACCAGAAGTCATCTGGTAGCAGGCTTTAAACCTGATGCTAGATAACTGAGTATGACTTGTTATGTTGAGGTAGTGTGTTAAAACCAGAGCAGAACTAAACAGAGACTCGACTTCACCTCTACCCAACTGTCTGGCTTTCCCGGCATTTGTGCTTTAGTTGTTGCCATCTATCAGCTTTGTCCTCGAAATTGGACGACATTTTGGGTGGATTTGGACTGAAAGCATGGGAGAGTGACTGGAAATTTAATAGAGGGGAAAACTCATTTGGAACTCCAAATGTCACGAGTGCCATGCTGCTTCTTTTAGTGCCATGACGGCAAACACTGATAATTTGGATTGATCATCTAGTGTGCTGCTGTTTTCAGCTTCATATTTCCTCTCTTTGTGGCGATTTATCCCTCAGATGTCAGTTGATTTGGAGGAGTGTCAACTGTGAAGGTGAGGAGGACTACTTTTTAAGACTCGACTTCACGATGGCGACAGGAGTATCAGCGTGGCTCCCTTTTGCCAGGGCAGCAGCCATTGGCTGGATGCCTGTTGCCAACTGCCCCATGCCTGTTGCACCAATGGACAACAGTAAGAGACAGGATGAGCTGATAATCCTCAATGTCAGCGGCCATCGCTTTCAGACCTGGAGAACCACTCTGGACCGCTATCCTGACACCCTGCTGGGCAGCTCCGAAAAAGACTTCTTTTACAATGAGGAAATCAAAGAGTACTTCTTTGACCGGGACCCTGACGCCTTCAGAAGCATCCTCAACTTCTACCGGACGGGGAAGCTCCACTACCCCCGCCAACAGTGCATCACAGCCTACGATGAGGAGTTGATCTTTTTCGGCATCATCCCCGAGATCATCGGCGACTGCTGCTACGAAGAGTACAAGGACAGGAAGCGGGAGAATTTAGAGCGGCTTCAGGACGATCAGGAGGAGAACAAGGACATGAAGCTGCCCAACATGACCTTCAGGGAGACCATGTGGCGTGCCTTTGAGAACCCCCACACCTCCACCATGGCCCTGGTCTTCTACTATGTCACGGGTTTCTTCATCGCCATCTCGGTCCTCACTAATGTGGTGGAGACGGTGCCCTGCGGTTCCACCGCCAACCAGAAAGACATGCCGTGTGGCGAACGCTACACAGTGGCGTTCTTCTGCATGGACACCGCCTGCGTCATGATCTTCACAGTGGAGTACCTGTTGCGCCTGTTCGCCGCACCCAGCCGCTACCGCTTCATGCGCTCGGTGATGAGCATCATCGACGTGGTGGCCATCTTGCCGTACTACATCGGCCTGGTGATGAGCAACAACGAGGACGTGAGCGGCGCCTTCGTGACGCTGCGCGTGTTTCGAGTGTTTCGCATCTTCAAGTTCTCCCGCCACTCGCAGGGCCTGCGGATCCTGGGTTATACGCTCAAGAGTTGCGCTTCGGAGCTGGGCTTCCTCCTCTTCTCGCTCACCATGGCCATCATCATCTTCGCCACCGTCATGTTCTACGCAGAGAAGGGCTCCAGCTCCAGCAAGTTCACCAGCATCCCGGCCTCCTTCTGGTACACTATAGTCACCATGACGACGCTGGGGTGAGTAATCGACGTGTGTACACACTCACAGAGGTAAATACATACACGTGTAAACACCGCGAGCGTCTTGTATCTCATTCTGCCATGCTGTATTTGTATTTGTGACAGAAGTAAAACAATGTTTTCGGATGCTAATAGATGTACTAGATGCATTTTTTGTGGATTTTTACTTTGAAAATTGAATAATTTATGAAAAACAATTTGAATTTCAAATGAGCATTAAGCCAGCCTGCCCCCATACTTCAGTACACTGCGGCGTATATTTGAGGCTGCCAGTGTGAGTAATGGTGGGAAGTGCGGCATTTATCTACCAGCACAATCACTCGTGGCATTTTGTTTGCCTCACCTACAGCTCGCCAAATTAGGAGACAGTGGTTGAATACATACAATACATCCGAGTGTGAAGAAGATGACCAGATACTACACATATTTATGTGTGGGTGGTGCACTAAGGACTCCATTGATGTAGAGCTATATTTAGTTGTTTTTTCTTTTAATTTATGTTTTGCTTGAGAAATAATTTGTATCCCTTTCAATTTTAGCCTTTTGAGAAAATGATGCACAACATGTAGCCTGACCCAAGAGCATGGACTGAACCATTATGATTAAATAATATTGGTGTTGGAAACAATTATGATGGGCCAGCCTTTTTATAATCATCCAATAAACTAACAAATCTTGATCATGTTTCCACCTGTGCACCCTTGTGACATTTAGATGATACAGCTCGTCATTTGTATGAACAGTGGTTCAGTTTGGTAGTTTTACAGAGAAAATATTAGCTGCTGTACTGCATTTCTGTTCTCATAATTGGGGCCACACCACAAGCACCGTATTTATGGCACAGGCGTTCAGTGTGAAAAAGCCTTGTGAGGAATTAATTGAACTGTATTATAAAGCCGGCTCTCTCTCTGCCGTGTGTGTGCCTGTAGGCGAGGTGTCTCATAAGATCTCCTCTGTCACCTTTATTATGATTCCCCTCTGCTCTTAATCTTTCACACAAGCTGGCTGAGGCTCGGTGCCATGAACGGCAGGGTGAACTTGAAAGTGTTCCCGAAGTTTTGGCTGAGTGAAGTATTATGAAGGCACAGTGGAAGAGTAGTTATGGTTTCCTAAAAAATCAGTTTTTCTCTCCGGCACTCTTTTGTACAATAATGCTGTGTGGAAATGCAAAACTGCCTTTTGGAATAAAACGGCATGATACAAGAATAAAGTCGGTGGTTCCATTATATCAAGTGACTAATACTAATTGTAATTGAATATCTTTGGACCAAAACTCAAAAGATATAAATCATTTCAGCGCTTTTTTTCTATTTATTTTCCAAGCTGCTCAGCAACGAAACACAAAAAGACAGAAATTCGCTCCAAAAGATCTGTAGCTTTGGAAGATGCCCACTTGATTTGTCTAACTTACTTACTCTGGTATTGTGCTAGGCAGGGCTCTGGACAGTAGGAGCAATTGTGGCATCTAATGTAAGTATTGTTTTTACCGTAAAAAACAACAACCGTAAGATTGTCATGAAATCAAGCCCCATTTTTGTTCTATTTATGGTTGTTACTTTTTCTGCAACAGCCATTCATGTTCTGTATCTCTCCGTAATTCTTTTCACCATCAGTAATGAAGCTGTTCCTGTGCTGGATTTGAGTAGCCAACATGGACTGAACTCTTAAGGATTTATAACTTTAGATGTGAACATATCCTTTTAACTATTAATGAGGATCTATATTGCCAGAAGAAAATGTGAAATAAAATGTAATTTAAAACACTTTTTTCTTTAAAAAATCTCTCCAAAAAGGTCTGCTGACAGAGAGCTTTAAACCCTGTTCATATTGTCTCAAAAGCTCTCTGGTTTCTGCTGTGTCCATTACTGAGAGGGATCTGCTCAGACACTAAGAAACACTAGACTAGACTAGAACACTGTGTGGGCTGTCATGCTGCACCACGTTTGACCCATAACAAGATACCTAACGATGCGACCTTGTGGCTTTTTGTGTCTTTTTTAAGTATGTTTAGGGTCCCTGTTGTGAGTGACATGTTTGGCTGGCAGACCTGAAATGTTCTTTGCTTTTCTAAGGTGACCGTAAAGTAGTTATTTCAGTCATTTCTCCTTCTTGTTATGATCAGTGTGTCAAAGTGTTGTCTTGAAATGGAAACCAAAAGAAATCGTGGATCTCCAGACCAGAATAGCTCTATTTGTCTCTCTGCAGCATAAGGGCTTTAAAGGATGCATTGCGTTACCTGTTCTACAGTGTGTGTGTATGTGCGTGTGTGTGCGTGTGTGTGTGTGTGTGTTGTAAGTGTTATAAGAGGATCTTTTGTATCGCACATACAAAAGGATAGAAATGCCAAGGTGAAAGCATTATGTAAATTGTGAACCCTGAACAATGTGTTTGAGTGTGGAGCCATTATGTCCAACACACAATAGAGGCAGCAGCACTGAGAGTCCATCCACAGCTCCGACAATGGTGATCCTCATAGCTAACCAGGACAGTCATTTACAATCAGGAAAACTATCAACCGATGCATGTCCAAGGCTCACACAATCAGAATATGAGTGTTCAAATTCAACATGTCCCCTCTGTACAGCCACACGGGTCTATACCTTTTAATGGAAACGGTAAAGTGGGATTCATAGAAATGTGCTCACATTAGGTTTGAAAGAGGAGCGCACGGAAGGTCTGAACATAAGGTTTTGTTTTTCTCTCAGATTTAGATTTTAGATATTTGATATGGTCAAAAAATCATCAGAGATATTGTGAATTGGCACTTTAAAATAAAAGGGTATCATTTTTTTATGATGTGAGTCAGGGCTTTGTTTTCTGTGCCGACAATCTGACTATGACCTGCACAGAATCCAGCAGTGTGCAGCACTGTGCACTGTTACCTCCTTTGATCAAAACAACAGACATAGAATTAATATGTAAAAGAGAAAAAACAAACGTGTACAGTACAGTCTTTGATATGTAGAACTCCAACCCACACAAACAAAACAAAAGCAAGCAGGTGAAAATAAAATGTATTGAAATACGGGTGCTTAGTACAGTATGTGCCCCCTCCTCTTCAATAGAACATAAGAGAGGCTTATCTGTACGTGATTACAACTGCAAGTTGAACAGCCAGCAGCTTCTCACGAGGCTCCGTCTTCCCTCCTGCCTGTCGCCCGTCGATCTGTTCACCTGCTGAAGAGACATATGCTCAGGTGATGAGGTCACCGATGAACCATCTGTCAGTGCGCTTAAGAAGCTACATACACAGCAGTACATACAGTGCAGTACATAAAACAATCCCACTGGTCATCCACAAATCATGTTTTCCGAAGAACAAAAAACCTGCAAGCTTACATCAGATGTGTTATTGGTGTACACAACATACCAGAATATGTTTTTTGGCTCACCACCATATTCCTTTGAAAATTATTTTTCAGCAAATCCAAAGCATTTGACAACAAACACACATATAAGCATGTACTGTAGAACACTTTAGATTGCCTGTCCATCATCGTAACCCAAACCAGAGCTGATACATCACCAAATGTTACTTTAATCTTTGACTAACCACAGTTAGTATAGTATTTAGTACACTTTTATAAAGTTGGGGCTTATGAGTGACAGATTTTAAAGGAATAGTCCAAATTGATGCAGCATCGGTCGACATATTTGGACTTGAAGTCCCCAGGCTGAGTCTAGCAAACACTGGATCCTACACTTCCATTAACGCAATCTGAACAAGAACAATTATGGCAGCCATTAACACCACGTTCATATGTCCATGTTAGTATTGTTAGTACTGAAGATTTCCATGACAACAAGCCTCACTTTTGTTACTATATACAGTCTGCATTCAGCTGGGTGAAACGTGTTGGCTTTTATTCCGAAGCAGTCACAGGAAATGCGATGTATTTGTTACCATGGCCGGTTATCAAAAAGGCATTTACAAAACCAGATGTTTTTTGGCATTTGTTTTACGCTGGGTCAGGTTTAGATATATAGCAGAGAGTAGCAGAACAAGAAGAAAACGGCCGCAGTGAGCTGTTGGATGAAGGGTTCCAGGCGACAGGCTGCACACCTCCAACTCCTCAACAAGGTAGTTAGAAAACGCTGCCCCCAATGTGTAGTCCATAATGTGTGTCCAAACGTGGCCTCAGGCAGAAACACACACACACACACACACACACATTCACAAACAAACACACACATTAATAACTCTGGGTGAAAAGTTTATAGGCCTGAAAACATATATATGTTTTATGCTAGTAGGACATTAAAAATATAAACACACCTGAGAAGACATACTGCAACACTGAGAACATTTCTGCCAGCTGACAGTCAAGCCTGTCAACATTTTGATCAGATGTACTGTATATATATATATATATATATATATATATATATATACAGTATGTCCCAAAGAGCACATACACACAATCATATGCTGATTCATTCACACACATACATAGTTATTGCCTTTGATCTTGTCTCGCGTTTTTGTCCTGCCTCTCTGCATCCCCTCCATGTCTGCTTGAGCCCAGGCAGCGCAGCAGTAATGAGCTTGAGCTGAGGGAGATGGGGGGGGGCGGAAGGGACTGACTGGCTGTATAATCAGCCGCTTTCACTGTCCAGGAACAGGGGTGTTAAATCAACCTCAGGTGGCTGATAAAACAATCTGGATTGAATCTCAGCAAGGTGTGCTCCCTGCGGCGGCCTGCCGGTGCTCGGCGCTGTTTGGAGCCAGCCGGATACGCGGTCAATGGCGTCACCGGGACAGGATCCGAAAGATTGATAATGGGAGGAAAAAGCCCCCCTCTCTTTCATGCGCTCCCTCTTTTACTCCCCTATTCCCCCATGAGTCTCCCAGAGGAACAGCTATTTTGAGAACAGGCTCTGTGTGTGAAAGGGAGTTGTCTGTTTTAACTATAATCTGATACACGATGCAGGCTCAATGGATGAGAGCTGGTTGTATTTTACCTGCATGACAGGTGCGCTGGAAGGTTGGCTGGCCT